ATTGACGCAGTCATGTGGGCTCGGAGTCATTTTATTCCACGGTCACAGACTTGGCCAAGTTTCTGGGACAGTCGACGTCGCATCCACGCAGAACGGCAATGTGATAGGAAAGCAGTTGCATGGGAATGACGGTGAGGATGCCCTGAAGGCAGTCGACAGTGCGGGGAATTTCCAAGTGGCGGGAAGAGAATGCCTTTGTCTCCTCGTCGCCCTCTTCGCAGATGATCACTGGGCAACCCTTGCGAGAGGTGACTTGCTGCAAGGCGTTCATGCACTTGACGTACACCGGGTCACGCAGCACGATCATCAGGACGGGCATGGAGTCGTCCACAAGAGCCAGGGGGCCGTGCTTCAACTCGCCGGCCATGATGCCCTCACTGTGCATGTAAGTAAGTTCCTTCACTTTCTGCGAATTGCAAGGATATGTTAGCGACGGCCACATCGCTATCGACGGTGGGAGCTACTTACCAGAGCGCCCTCCAGGCAGGTAGCGAAGTTGTAGCCGCGGCCCATGATCAACAGGGACTTGTGCTGGTAGAGATCCTTAGCCAGTTCCTGCACCTTGGAGTCGAGCTTGAGCACCTTTCGGATCTGGTCGGCGAGATTGGACAACGCTTGCAAGATCTCCAGGCGCCGCTGTTGCAGCGATAGCCGATCCTCGGACATGACCAGCGCGAACATCACCAGCGATATGAACTGCGAGGTGTAGGCCTTTGTGGAGGCCACACCGATTTCTGGCCCGGCATTGATGTGCACCCCGCAATGTGATTCGCGACAGATGCTGCTGCCGACTGTGTTCGTGATGCCGACGATCAGAGCTCCACGCTGCTTGCAGTAGCGCAGCGCCATCAGAGTGTCAGCTGTCTCGCCGGACTGCGAGATGAAGAAGCACACATCGTCACGGAAAATGGGCGTGTTGCGGTCCAGGAAGTCGGAGGCAAGCTCCACAATGACAGGAAGCTCGGTCAGCTCCTCAAGCAGCTGTCGGGTGGCCACTGCACTGTGGTACGATGTTCCGCATCCGATCAGCATCAGGCGACGACAGCGCTTGATTTCCGGAATGTAGTCCTTGATGCCGCCAAGCACAATGGCGTTGCCGTCGAAGCGGACGCGGCCTCGCATTGTGTTGACCACTGAGTCCGGCTGCTCGAAAATTTCCTTCTGCATGAAGTAGTCATAGTTTCCTTTCATTATCTGCTGGATCTCCATTTTCAGTGTGGTAATCTCACGCGCGTGCGGATCGTCCAGGCTCTTCTTTAGGCGATGGATGCTCAATGTGCCGTCACGAACTGCGGCTACATCGTCGTCCTGTGAATATATGAAGCATTTCGATTATCTTTGTGCCCATACAAACTATTACAAGCAACACGTCAGAACTATTTTGTCGTGGCTGTTGCTATAAAACAAGCTTTATGTCTTACCTCCAGGTAGATGACCCGGTTGGTGTGCTCAATCACGGCCGAAGCGTCCGAGGCAAAGAAATATTCGACTTCCTTCTCCTCCGGCATGAACTCCGAGGTGCTGTCTGAGCGCGGCAACACTGGCAATTCACGAGTTTGTCCGTGGGGACGAATTTCTATTTGGTTAATTTGGCATTGCGATGGCGTTGACATTGATTCGGTTCGTTGCAGGGCGTGTGGCGGGTGGCGTGTGTGCAGTAGCATTTACCAGTACAGTTGCATTACAGCGGTGGCGATGACATTGATGGCGTTGCGTGTTGCATGTGGCATGTTGTGTTTTGTGTTGTGTTGCAGTTCCAATCCACCAGCGCCATGGGTGACGAGACAGGACAGGACAAGGCGATGGCGGGTGGAAATGCGTGCATTGTGGAATGTGTGTGTGTGTGTGTGTGTGTGTGTGCGTGCGGGAGTGTGGGAGAGTGTTTGTGGCATTGTGTGTTTGTGTTTGAATGGAATGAGTTTTGCGAGAGGGGGAGGGAGTCAGCGGAGTGGGTAAACGAAAATAAATACGTAGAAATATCATCAATATCGTCATATCAGGAATTGCATTCGCATTTCGCTGCCCACAAATATCCCGCCGTCTCCCGCAAGCCCGCCACCAAGCATCCCATGCCCCATCGCCCCATTTCTGGATCGGCCCCCATTTAATGGCCAAAATAAAACTATTTCTAATATCATTGCGAAAGTGGGACAACATTATCTATTTAGTTATGCAGCTTTTGCATCAGTGAGATGATATGTTATGCATTGTGAGTTCAGAATATGATACCTACCAGTACAAGAGTTCTTTCGCATACTACCTACTATTTTAAATAGAATTTAAAATATTAAAAACTGGTAACAGCAAGCGTTTAAAAAGGCCAAACAAACAAAAAACAACCCGCATTTCTTTTCACTTTGCGTCTGAGTCTGTCTACCTTAAGAAATTAAGCCACCGTATTGAAAGGCTTCAAAGTTAAAGAGTTTCTCATAAATCCTTTGCCCATTTCCCCTCCCCTCCCCGCCCAACCCCAACGAAATGCAGCAGCCTCACGGACAGATTATGGAATGTACACAGACTTCAGTTTACCGACAAGACATTTCAAGACTCTCCTTGCAATTTCGTAAATGCAATTTGTTCGGAATTTTATACGAATGTACGGTTAAATGGATAAATAAATATTCAATATGAACAAAATATTAGCTAAAAAAATAAATAAGATGGAAACGTTTTATAACGAAATTCTCTTGCCAATTATTTGAACCCCTAAAAGTTGAAAGAATCCATTGGAATCCGAGCAAGCATTTGGATTATATGTTCATGGAGCAAACGGTGGGCAGGGCAGTGGTCTAACCACCAGAAGCCGACCAAAGCCAAGGTGCAAGCAAGTGTGCGAATATTTCGTATTTGCGTAGTCAAAGTATTTAAAATAGTAGTTACCTTGGGGCTTGCCAGAGTCGGTGTCTAAACGAATGCAAGAGAACGAAACAAAGTGTTATATGAATACCGGAGTTGAGTTGAGTTGTGTTGTGTTGTGTGGTACGAGTATGAAAATAGTAATTGTGGAGAGAGAAGACAAGTCGCGACGCATGAAATTGTATTAGTCATGTATTGGAAGGCAAGAGGAAGGCAAGCTTTTGTTAGTTTGGTTTACTTAAGAGTGCGCCCAGTGGCCCAGTAGCCCAGTGTCTGCAGATTACGTTACTAGGTTTGATAAGCTTAAGGGGCAAGTCAGTGGACTACCTTGATCGGAGGTCTGCTTCTTGTCATCTACGGGTCGGCATCGGCACCACAGACGGGGCGGGAGAAGCGTCGGAGAGTGGATGGTACCGATACGAGTTCGGGAGTGTCGGCAGGGCAGGAAGCAGCGTTGGTTATTACGAAGGAACGAACACATTTGACACAGACAGTTATTTACATAGAGATAGAAGACAAAGGATATTGCTCATGAGGAAAGTGTGTGCGGATAGCGCAGAGAAAGGTGGGACAGTGGTTCGACAAGTCTCAAACCAATTACCTTTGCCATATAGAATGGGAATGTGATCCGTGGCCAGGCGAGACTTCGTCTTGATGGCTACCAGCAGGGGGGAGCTCCTGCGCGAGGCCACGCACTCTCCAGGGAAGTGTTTGGACTTCACGGCAATGGCAAAGGCACCTTCCTGCAAGAAGAGACGATGAAGAGATGATAATTCGTTCTCCACTCTCACTTACCACTTGCAGAATGGCCTGCTCGACCAGCTCGCGGAACGAGTAGGTGGGATGGGTCTTCCACAGGTGGTGCACCAGCTTGGCGAACACCTCCGTGTCGGTGTCGGACTCGAACTCGTAGCCACGCTTTGCCAGGAAGGTTTTCACGTCGTTGTAGTTGGTGATGATGCCGTTGTGCACCACAACGAATCCGTTTCCCTCGTCTGACCGGTGCGGATGCGAGTTCCGTTCGCAAGGCACGCCGTGCGTCGCCCAGCGGGTGTGCGCGATTCCGATGTGGGTCATCACCGGCTCACTGTACTCGCCGCCGCTAAAGTCTGAAGCCACCCAATTCGAACCCAAAGCCCCAATTAGAGAGCTGGAATAACCGCTGGAAAAGCTGGGGATACGTACGCTCTTTAATGGCATCCTCCAGAACCTTCACCTTGCCCGTGCGCTTAACCATCACGATATTCTTGCTGTCCGGTGAGTCGATGGCCACGCCTGTCGAGTCATATCCACGGTACTCCAGACGCTTCAAGCCCGTAACCAGCAGATCCAGGACCTCCAGGCGGGACTTGGGCGTCAAGTAGTTGAGGTACGCGAAAATTCCTGCAGGGGAAAAGAGTAAAATTGCATTTAATGAGCTGAGAACGGATTGCTTTGCAACCAAGGCACATGCACATAAGCCTTGCCATATACTATTGTATATACCATTTACTTTGGTACACACAAGTATGTACATACACACTCGTATGTATATGTATATGGATAAATGTATAAAGAAAAGTTAAACTTGCAGCAATAACATTTGGCAAGAGTCGAACCAATTGAGCGGGGCCCAACCAGTTGTGAGGAAATTTGCATGTAAGCCAAGAAACCAGTTTGGACTCGGACTCGGAGCCCGGGATCGGGATTGGGATCGGGCCTGTCTCTGTGGGCGATCACTTGAGGTACGGTACTGTTGGGGCATACTCAGAGAAAGGCCATCGACGTCCACGAACGTTGCGCAATAGGTCTCAGCCCGAGATCTGGAATCTGGTCTGGCCCAGATGCAAGCTTACATTTCATATTCAATGATTCGAGGATTTGCGAATGCCGAATCATGCACCCAAGTCAACGAACCGATTCTGATGGGTTCTCCTTTGGTGACTCAAAGTTCAGTCTTCAGTTACTTACCGCACATGATTTCTGCAACTGATTATTTGAAGTAGCTGGAGAGGTGTTCGTTCCACAAGGTATCTGTAATAAGAAAAGACATGGTTTGATAATCGAAACAAATCAATATATGTACCTCATCCGAGTATGTGTGTACTCGTATGTATGTTGATACTGATTGCCATTGATTGATGGCCTGGAATAGTTCCAGTTCCTACGAGTGATAAGTACGTGTATATCTGAATGGGAGAGTGCTTCCAAACTAATGCGGATACGTATGTATGTATGTATATCTGAGAATGCTTTCGAGCTCTAGTATGTAATTGTTATCAACTGGTTTCTCTCACGTCTCTCATATCATACCGCTTCCCACTGCCTCCGCTACGCTACTGTTTCGGCTCTAGTTGAAGTTATTTTTCCCATCTCCGGAGGCCTCCTCGCTGCTCCAGAACTTGAACGAATGCCCGGTTCAGTTGCCACAAATGGCAATTTCTTGTGTTCAAGATTCCTGAATACTGACTGCTCCATTCTGCTCCGCTCTGCTCTGCGGCTATTTTCTAGCCCAATGCTTATGCGTGCAAGTGCTTTTCTTTTGGTCTGCGTCCGGGTATTCCCCCGCAGCCACAGTGACGCCTCGGCACACCGCTCGCATCGGCTAGTGCCTTCAGTGGATTGATAGAGACAAAGAGACAGACCCTATCAAGCCTGCAATGGCTTACATAAACGATTAGTCTCTCATGGGGCTGTACATGCAGCCGTAATCTAATGAACAACCGAAATCATGGTTATTGGATAATTATTGCTAGTACTGTTGATACCTGTCTTCATATAATTAATTATAATTACAGTTTGGAGCTCGTGCAATAAATATACAACTTTCTTTGATTGAAATTTCATACATATATTGTCACTTGCCTACTCTATGCAGAAATGCACTCTAATCATAACATTTCGGGCTGATTCCATTCCTGAGTGCCTCGCACAGTGCAAACCAATCTCAGCGATGGTTCAGAGTATGAATCATTTGGCCCGGTGTTGGTATTCGTCAAGAATACTAAACGCCCCCTTATCACCTTATCAGAGCAAACAGACGGCTTCCTCTCTTCCACTTCCACATAATGCGAAAGCCAACAGTAAATGTGATTGGCCCAAACTAATTTCAAGAGCGGAAAGTCAGTGACAGAGAAAGCCTTAGCCCACAATAAAGTTTACAAGCTTTAAAGGCAGACAACTAACATTTACGACTCTATTCTTTCATGTTTCCCCAAGAGCACACTTACGACATGATACTGATCGTAGATACAGGTATACAGCCAACACGGATGTACCCATTGAAAGCGGAAACCAAAGCTCTTCAATAGAAGATATTTTCAGCTGCAAAAGTGCACTAGAACAGACGATACACAGGTATATTTGTTGACACAAATACTTAAACCATTCGCTTTGGTAAACAATATATATTATTTTGTTTCTGCGCAAAGATACTGTGTGCCAAAAACTTCTCCAGCTCGCAGGTAAGTTGCCATAAATGTTATATAGAGTATTGCACAGCTATTCAGTGCATTGCTTCCAGAAATACTATCCAACTGATAGTCAGATACTTGAGCGTAACGTTTGACAGTTCGCGGAAACTATATCAATACAATGGGATCGCGGTAGACAGTTATCGCCCCTTACTTTCCGCCCAGCAGGGCAGCAAAATATAAATAGATCTATTGCTATGTTTGTGCATCTGTGTTGATAACAAACACGACGAGGTCTAGGCAGTGCTCGTAATTAAAAGCAGAAATGTAATTCACATGGAAATCGCGGAGCTCGCACCGCTCCCAAAATTAGCACAGACACCACTGAACGCTTGGAGTACAATTGGGTTCCTGGATCGGCCACGCCCTGTCGCCCTGTTTTGGAATAGGCCGAATAGACAACTTAACTTTGGTTACACAGCTTGGCTTGGCTTTGCAGTGGTGTGTGCACTTCGTGGTGCTGAGACCATGCACGAGAAGTACGAGTATATCGAAAAATAGGTCGCCGTGCCACTGGTTGGTCTGCCACCTTGGGTGGGACTTGCTGTTTGAAATCGCCTGGCTTAGCCTGTTATTTGGTTTATTTTTAGATTTTGATTGTTTTTCCTTTTGCTGTGGCTAACGGCAGCCCGCCCAATCATCGCCGGCAGGTCGAACTGGTATTTTACATAAGACGAACCAACGAATTTTGACCGCAATTTTTGTTTTCAAGCGGGTTTTTGTGTTGCTCCACACCATTGCGGCTTTGATATTGTTTGAATATTTGTTGCTTTTATGGTCCTACAAGTATTTAATTCAATTAGAGTTGCCGCGCTGGCACCGGCCGCAGCAACGACTAACCAAGCGATGTCACAGTACTCCGAATTCCAATTGAAATGCGCCCCGCATCGCGGCAAGCACTTTCGGCAGTGAAGTACGAGCAGGTGTCGTCTTGCAACACGAATTTTTAATAGACACTCGCAGGCTTGCTCTGCTCCCTTCACCTGTCCTCCCAATTCCACTATCCCGCTTCTGTCTTGGGGCAGGGGCAGCGACCACATCACTTGTCTTGAACTCACATGAACAGCTTTGAGTTGGCTCTCGAGTTGACTGGGCAGCGTAACTGGTTGTTGTTGTGTTTGTGGTTGTGGCAGTGGTTCGGCTCTGTTTGGATCGGATCGAATCGAATCGGTGGGGGTACGCGTACGCTCACACAACTAGCCAACTTTGCTATCGAATTAACACTGAGCTCACTTCAAAAAGCAACGCGCTCTAAATGGGCCTCTTTTATAGGCCGCAGACAGCAGACGGGCATCGGAGCTGCCACTGCCACAGCCGATGGCCCGATCCGCCCCGATCGTTAATGTCAAAGAGTCCGAGACCGAGACACGCACACGTACACACACAGAGACAGAGACAGAGACCAAGCCCGAGCCCACACTCTCTTACGAACCCACTCCGCGGTTACTGATTCTTATTTTGTGGCCGTTGCCGCTGCCACTGGCACTTCGTTGCCACTGCCAGAGAGCGTGAGGTTGCTCTTCGGCCAAGTTTGTACTCCGAAAACTCTCCGGGCTCTTCGGGCTATCAAGACATAATCATTCAACTCAGCTAGATATGTAGTTGGCTGGTTGACTGAATCAAAACAAACTTCCAGGCAGATCAGATTATGTTTATCGCGCATACGCCACGTTGCGATGATAAATATCTGTGTGCCCTCCAAAAAATTGCATAATTAGAAAGATATTATAAAGATATTATGGCTCTTGCAACAGGCGAAAACTTCATCACATAAACGGACAATACTGGATTTGTGTACGTGAATGTGGAGAGTTTTCAGACATCGACATTGGGCATCGAACCTGGCCCTCTTTTTAGTTCGTAAACTGACAATTCGCGAAGTAAAAGATGCCAAATTTCGGGGAGGCATGCGATAAACTTGTTTTGACACTGTCCAATTGAACGAAATAAACTTTGGCATTTAAAAGGCATCCATCCCGGGGCTGTTTTGTGTGTTCGATGGCGAGCCACACAAGTTCAATTAATGAATTCCGTGTAATCAGAGGGAAATCAATATGCATTGTATCTAAAAGCATGTTTAAATTAAACGCAATTACTATAATTACAATTTGCAAAAACGACAATAGACGTTCAGACCATCAGTAACATTTTACATAATTTAATTTCATTTAAAAACCAATGTCGCATTATTTATTAACTTCGTATTGTTTTAAATTTGACATTATTTGCATGCTTTACAGATGATTAATATGAACAATTAGCCATTCATTGATTCACAAGTGTCACAAAAAACTTGGATAGTCACAACCTATGCCTAACCAACGCCATGCATGTACCATGCACAAACATGAATATGTACATACATATTGAATATCTGTGAGAACTCCGAGCGCACAATGCATTTTCCAGGGTAGAGTGCAGGAAAGCGGCAGTGTAATCGATTGTTTGGTTAACCACACAAAGAGACCGAATCGACACTGACAAAGAAATGAGTAAACATAAGTGCGACCAACTACTAGTGCGGACAAAAGCGAGACGCTAGCCCGTTTCGTCCCATCCCGTGCCGGACGAAATGTTGCCAAATGAAACCGGTTCGAAATGGGAAAATTATGCACTGACGCCGATGTGGACCCAAACCATGTCCAGCCACCGGTTTTGGAGCGTCAACGGGACAGTATAAATATTTATGATTTCTTTTCTAACGCTACCGCCAGCGCCAGCCCCAGCGCAAGCGCCCAATCAACCGATCAGATCGGTCAAACAAGTTATTTTCGCCGATGCCACTATTTTGTTGACTTGACTGGATCTTCCAGATGGCAGCATCGTGCGTAATTCGCTGACCTTGACTTCCATTCGAAAGGAAAAGTGATGCCCGCGCGGTAGGGCCATTCTCACTGAAAACCAGTCCGCCATCTAGATGGAATGTAGCAGTGGCAAGCGGCTCGAATGTACTCGAACCTTTCCCAACAGCTCTGGGCTGTAACTGACACGAAAAAATTATTTTTCTTAGATGTATTGTTATTGAATTAAGTTCTATTCAAACAGAAATAATTGTTCAACAATTGGAGAATGCGTCAGCGTAGTTTGTTAACCAACAAATATCTAGCCTTTTTCTCCACTTGTCTCAACATGTTCTTGGAAATTCCGAAAGCTTGCTGCCCAAAACAAAAGGGTTAAACATTGTACAGCTTCTCGGGGACAGTAGTACGCTCGTGGAGGCGCACTGTAAGTGCTTAAATGTCTGATTTGTAGCTGGTAATGAACAAAGCTTGTTTTGAGGGGCTCATGGGAGGTGGTGGTGGTGATGGTTGTTGTGCTGGTGTTGGTAACCAGAAGTCTAGACTCGACCCCGTCTGGGCGGCCTTGCAACTGGATCGGCCTCTTGCCTCTTACCTTTTACTTGCACTCAGCTGCGTCGTCGGACTAAAAGACTGGAGACTGGCTGCTCTGATTGGGGTTCGGTTGTCGGTAATCCGTTGTCGGTTGAGAAGTTTCCACTTGTACAATGCTGCATTAGTTGAACACGGAAGAATTGCCAGCAGCAACTGCTTAGACTTTGGCAAAAACTGCAATGATACCCATACTATTTTCTGCATTTCGAATTTTTTAGTTGTCTGTCTTCAGCTCTGTGGGCCACGTCAGACACCCGTGCGAAAACAAAGAATACAAACAAACAAGGTTTCTAGTGCCTTGCGAAAGGGGGTGCGGGGATCGCTGCGCAGTTAGTTGTACTGCTTATCAGAGCTCCGATAAGCGAGCAAAAATTCTGAGAAACTCATTTCCGCACCATATATGTAAGAGATGCAAAAAGTTTTACAGACGTGGACCTACGACATCCCAATCTGAGAAACATATTGTCCACGGAATTTCGATTTCAGATGGGAACATATTCCATTCTGATTCCGTAAATATCCGTTTTTATACCCGTACTCAAAAAAGAGTTAAGGGGTATAAGGGGTAAATTAAGGGGTAAAAGTGGATGTGTGTAACGCAGAGAAGGAAACGTTTCCGACCCCATAAAGTATATATATTCTTGATCAGCATCAATAGTCGAGTCGATATAGCCATGTCTGTCTGTCCGTCTGTCTGTCTGTCTGTCTGTCTGTCTCGATGAGCGCCTAGATCTCAGAGACTATAATAGCTAGGGCAACCAAATTTGGTTTCCGGACTCATGTGATATCACACTGCTACAAGTGTATTTCAAAATTTCGCCCCGCCCCCTTCCGCCCCCACAAAGGACGAAAATCTATGGCAGGCACATTTTTAAAGATACGATAAAACTAAAAGCACAGTATCGTAGAGAATGACCATATCTACCAGACTGCCGAATCTGAATCAGATCGGATCATAATTATAGCCAGAATGAA